TGTTGTGGTGGATGTTAGTGTCTAATAATGGTGGATTATTAACCACTTAGCGTTCGGGAACATGCACAAGTGTTGGCAAGTGAAACAAAATAGCGGAAATTGTCTTTCGACGTTCCCTCAAGAAGTCCACGGGGAGGTTCCAGTAAATCCCTACACTTTTATTGAAACATAGGGAAAGGGGAATTGACTTGACTGCCACTTACTTTGACGTGATTTATTACTTTGACTACGAGTGCTATAGTATTTGTAAACATTTTAACACTTGACATTGGCTAAATACACAAACCGTGCGACGCTAGTTAGAAAAAAAAATGTCCAGAGTTTTCCAACGTTTTCGCAGCAACTTAACAATGGTATTTTGGATTTAGTTTTTTTTTCTGAAATACACCACAGTATGATGAATATACATTTTTTATGGACTCCATAAACATAAGTAAATAACGTGAGATCGTTTTCTAAAACTTGTCAAATACCTTATTCGCTGGTGTGATTTGAAATTCATATGAATATCAGTTTCAAATCACACCGCTGATTCCTAGGTTAAATGTGTGTTTGTTTTTACTAGAAAAGGACTACATGTAATGTTGTTTTTAAAAGTTTAGCATAATAAAAGAAAACATTTATTAAAATCAAAGATCTGCATTTTAAATAAAAACTAGTATGACATGACAAACGAAAGTTTTTTTGTTAAGCATACAAAGGAGCACGTGATAATGTCTTTTTTACTTTAAATCAGTCAACTACACAACGCCGGCGTTTTTAACATAATGGGCATAAATATCTTGTTTCTTTACATACTCACTTGTTATCATAATTGGTTAAAACTAGTTAAGAAAATGTAAGAGAAAATAATTTAATAACCAGTTAAAAAAAGTAATTAGTTAACAACTAGTTATAAAATATACAGTCCTCTTTTATCTACCATCCTTTATTTATTGATGAATTGCTCTACTCGAATGGTCTCGTTCGAATCCCGGTGGGGGCAGATGTTAGAATAATGAATACGAACATTTGTACCATAGTCATGAATGTTTATATATATATTTCTATATAAAATTTACTTATATATGTATCAAATATATATATGTATTCTATTCGTTACCCTAGTAAACCTACCTTAACACAAGCATTAGGGTAGCTACACACATAAGCGGGCCGGCATAGTCGGTTCTGCCGTATTTGTCGAAAAACAAAGCCGACCCGAAGAAATTACGGCACTTTTTCGGCTTCATTCGGGTCGACACCATCATTCGATTCGGCAGTATATCTGGAACGAAAGCAACTACAACTTATTACGTTCAGCTCCGATCTGTTCTGTTTTATTCGGTTGTCGTCGCTCGGTATTCAATTTTCATTGTCGCGATTTTGAAGACCGCTTCCCACCCAAAATCTTCAGGTTTTTCGTAGTACAAAGACGGCAATTACAACAATACTTGCAGAAACTAACAACACATCGTCTTCGTCCCATATTTTTAGCTGAACTAAAATTTAAGCCGAGTGGGTTCTGATTCCCCGACTTTCAACTACATAATTTGGTTTACTGTCCAGCCTTGCCGATGACTGCCGGCCCGCTGATGCTGCCCGCTAAGGAAATCCGAGTGATCTTTACTCGAATATTTATTTACATAATATTCTATTTTACCGCCGGGCTGTGCCGAATAATGCCGGCCCGTTTGTATATGTAACTACCCTTACAGTACTTAATTTGTGACTAGGCTAATTGGTGTGAGTGTGGGAAATATTATTATTATAATTAATTTTTCTATCTACTTTTCTTAACCAATTATGAAAACGGATAAAATTTTCTAATTTTATAACCATTTAGGAAAAAATGATAAATAATCTACTTTCGTAGATGGTTAGAAAACCGTTTAAGAAATCTAAAGGAATCATAGTACATTAGCTTGTATTTGATGAAAAAAAGGATGAAATCAAGTCATCATTAGTTATTTGGTGTAGTGTTGAGTAGGACTTACAAGAGGCGGTACATTTGTCCCGGACATGACGTCAATATGTAAGAGCGGCTCAAAATTTTAAAATGTACTACTTCACATTAAATGTCGCGATAGTCGCGTCTCGTTACTCACTCACTCTTCGTAAGTCTGAGAGAGAGCGAGGCATGACATTTCATTTAAGTCCTCTACGCACTATCCATCTGTATCTCTATCTCTTTTACGTGTATAGCGCTGTCCTGCATGCTGGATCCAGCAAGATTGATAGTGCGTAGAGGAGGTGCTACTCGTGCACACAAACGTAATGTCGAGCTTCTGTACGCCTCAATGTCATATTTGTACTCGTCACTTCAAATGTATTGCCGAGCTTCAGTACGCCTCGCCTCATTTGAAGTGGGACATTGTACTGGCTCAGTACAAAAAAGAGGCTACTCTTACAAACTCTTTTTCAAGTCGTGTCCTACCCAACACTAATTTGGTGTGTAGTCTGAGAAATGTACTATTATAATAGAAAATATTATTATTATAATGTGCACATTAGCGCTAATGAAGAAATAAAGTGCCATTATATGTCGAGCCTAACGAATGTTTGATGTTCAGTCATTGTTCATTATGTAAGTCTAGTGTTGAAAATAATATAATGTTTAGGCCTAATAGACTAATTACATAGTTTCTTACTCAATGGGTGGCGATTACGACGCAGAAACAAGCAGAAAGCCAACAGATTAATTACTAAGGACCAACGAAATTGTATACCAGGTAATTTAAATTCTTTGACGCCTTCATAAACATAAAGTCAAAGTTGAAGTGCCTATTTGTAGACAGCGTCAAAGAATTTCAACTAGAGTAAATAATATCTAATTTCGTGGCAAAGTTGTTTTTGCTCTTGTCTCATTTGAAAACGTAATGAGAGTTACAACTCAGAAGTTATATTTCATGGATGGCAATATTTTTTAGACTCATTTCGTACCTGTCTTTATCTACCTAAATTACCGGGCCTGAATATTATGCGTAATTTTAATGATTTCAGGAATAAATTGATGGAAATCTAAAAGGTTGTTACAAGAATTTTATCTAAAATAATAATAATTCTAATGTTTTTAGGATTCCGATCCCAAAGGATGAGTAACGGAAACCTACTAATATACTTTTCCTCGGTCCATCTGTCACAGGGCTTTATCTCATGAATGGAGATAGGTACCTAAATATTTTATAGAATACGTTTTACTATGGCCTCCATTACTGACAGTTATAAAAATAAATAGTTTCTCCAAACGAAACTAGATTTACTCGACTTTTGCTCGATCTAATCACACGTATATTATAAAGGCCAAAGTTTGTGAATGTGTGTGTATGTTACTTCTTCACGTCTAAACGGCTGAATCAATTTGAATAAAATTTGGTATGGAGTTAGCTGACACTCTGGATTAAAACAAAGGCTACGTTTTACTGCGGGAAAATATCCCTAATAAACCCGGCAACACCGCGGGGCACAGCTAGTTTAAAATTGTATTGTGAGAAACCCTCCTTTTGCAAGGCCGACTACTATAGTACGGAACCTCATCCAGTGCAAGTCCGACACACACTTGGACATTTCTTTTCATAGTATTTTGGAGGGAATCCAAAAACATCAGTATACCTATCGTCATAGTAAGCTTTCATTGAATGAAAGACGTATTAATTGAGCGCTGAGTAACGTTGGTAACGTATTCACATGGACAGTGTGACGTCCGCCAGTCGATGAGGCAACATAGTAGTATTACGCAAATACTAAATGCGATGTATACTATTCTACTAGGGATCTGAAGTAGCTTTATAAAACCATTTATAAAGCTACTTCAGATCCCTGAAATGTAAGTTTGAAGAGATATTGTTTACCTACCTATAATATTTTATCAAACCAACTTACCACTAATTTGATTTTGATCCTCCTGAAGCCTTTCATTAATATAATACGTTGACTAAATATAAGCCAGGAAGTCTTCTCTCTTTCTCCGAAACGAACTTTCGATAACCAAGTTCAAACGAAATTTAATTTCGTCAATTTAAGGTTATACTTAATTTGAACAATAAACTGTCAAATTGAAGCTTTCTTTGAGTAGATTTAGAAAATGTTAACCTCAATCTATATTCCGACGACGAATATAATTATAATTAAAAACGAACCAGAATCTTAGTAAGAAAAGTGCGCAGTATCGAACGAAATTTAGTTTTTCGTTGAATTGGAGTGGGCCTCCTGATCTTAATATGACACTGTCATGTTTGTTTGTGTGCTAAAAACGTTAAAAGCGACAAAACCACTAAAAAATAACATATAAATGGTGTCGGCGCCATGCCAACCTAAGCAGTAAATGGTAACAGATCTATCAACATGCATGGCACCTGCTCTCTTTAAATATTTTATTTTGAACTCTTCAGTGGATTTATTTCCATGAAGTCTGTTTTTATTTTTGTTAAAAAACGATTTTATTTTCCACTTTTTATAATCCCGTGAAATATTAACCAAATTCTTATAAACACCTCGTTAACAATACCTCACGTATATAATAATAATAATTTGGTACCATGAACGTCTCAAAGGACCGATCCCATGGACCCGTGACTGAAAAGCCTAGGTATCAACATAACAATAATATACCTCTCCACACCCTATAGCGGAGGACGGCATTGAGGCTTTTCTAGGGGATAAAAGCCGCAATGTATCCGGCTAGTCATCACCTGCCATTTTTATCAGTCTGGGAACTATAATATAAGCAGATGAACCGATAGTTTCGTTCCATAGCCCAGGTTCCAGCCCATATAATACCAACACACTGTAGCTCCAATACACGATACAAACATTAAAAACGAATTGACTCCTCCTTTTTGAAGTCGGTTCATAAAAGAAAAAACAGAAACGAAATATTATTTAAATTGCAATAAGGCGGTAAAGGTTTTACGCGGAGGATCTCATAAATCTTCCTTAGAAATTCCGTGTTGTTTATTTATTTTTTCATTGACTAAGCTTCTACCTTTTAATAAATTTTAAATACAGCTTTTTTTTCACAGATCTACACAGACGATGATCAAGAGGAGAACAAAGATTCTGACAAAGATAAGGAAGACTATGGAACACTGGAGAAGCTGCACAACCTGACGATCCTGGAGGACGACACGATGCCTGATGACGACTTGTCTGATGATGAAGACCTGTATGACAACACTGACGAAAGTGGCGACTTCTACGATTACGACAGGCGGAGAGAAAATAGCAAAGTGAGCGAATTCTTACTAACTTCTATGTTCTCCTACCCATTAGCATGACCGTTAAAGTTTTGACAGTTTGAAAGTTCAGTGTTCAAGAGGCTATCTTGCTCTCCGAGCGAACGCTACCGCTAATTTTAAAGTAAACATTAAGCGATAAGGTTCAAACTTTTTTAATTCCATAAAAAATCCAATGTTAGATAGAATTCAAAAGTTGACACAGATAAAATAGATGTTTATAACTGAGTACTAAGTACCTAGTCTAAACAATCATTCTTGAATTACGAACACAAATTGCTTAAATTTACATGAATCACACTAATATTATAAAGGCGAAAGTTTGTGAGTGTGTATGTTTGTTGTTTTGTTCTTCACGTCTAAACGGCTGGAGCGATTTTAATAAAATTTGCTAAGGAGTTAGCTGACACCCTGGATTAACACATAGGCTACGTTTTACTGTGGGAAAATATCCCTATTAATCCGCGTTTAACACTGTGGGGCACAACTAGTAGATTATAAACGAAACCACTTGCATGCTAGTATTAGTTATATTTAGATATCTTTAAAATCCTTTTTCACTACTGACTTATTGTTAATTTATTAGTTTATTTACTTACACCAATAGCTATGTTTAAGATTAATCAAGAGGCTGGCAGCTACCTTGGTCAACGGATTAGCCTTGCTATCCAACTAGAAATGCTGCCATAGGGCCATTCCTGACGGCGGCGGCGCTAGGGGTGATAAATTTTTGAAATGAAAACTTTTTTAGCGACGTTGTACACTTTTTTGTATGGGTAAAAAATGTTAAACTCGCGTCAGGACACATGGCGTAAGTCTTAAACAATAAAATTAGAAAGGTTGTTGACTTTCAATATATTGGACGACACATAGTAATATTTTATGTTAACGTATTGTAATAATAAGTCTCTAACTAGGACGTCCAGGTGGCAGCTTTATTGCGAAGAAACTGCATTTTTTTAAAATAGATGTGAGGAGCTCGATGGCGCAAGTGGTTAGCGCGTTCGGCTGCGATCGTTGAAGTTCAGCAACTTTCGCAATGGTCGGTTATTGGATGGGTGACCAAAAATTTACTATGTCGAGTTCCTCCGTGCTTCGGAAGGCACGTTAAGCCGTTGGTCCCGGCTGCATCTGCAGTCGTTAGCACCCACCAATCCGCACTGGGCCCGCGTGGTGGGTCATGGCCCAATCTCCCTATTCCATCCATAGGGAAGGCCTGTGCCCCTGCAGTGGGGACATTAATAGGCTGATGATGATGATGATGACAATAGATGTCGCTAGGTGCGCTTAAATGTGATTCATGTAAGTTGATTTTCTGAGAGATAAACTTTTAATGTTATATAAATTGTCATGTTTGTGTACGATAGCGCAATAAATAAATATTGTATTCTACCACATAAATGATAGTACTTTTATAGTGATAATTAAAGAAATTCGTGCAATTTTTTTCCCTAACCATTCCAAAATATCAAAAATGCACAATAATAATAATCAAGTTTTCACTTCTGCCAGCACTCCCGGAGTGCAACCCGTCGTTTTGTATTTTGTAAATTGTATTTAATAAATTAAGTAAGTTTTCAGTCAGATAATTCTGATTTTAAGTTTTTAGACATTAAGTAGTTTTAAGCTTTTGTTATTTTATTCAGAATTATTATGTAAATCGTGTTTATCCCTACAGCCTGGCTCAACGAATATGGTTCTATTAAATGCTGAGGATTTTATGGATTCCGTAGTGAAGTTCGATCAGGAGAACAAAGCATCTCTATCGACGATTAAGAAGATACAACGCATGCTTAATGAGAACCCTGAAAATCCTGATATAGGTATGTACCTCGTATGTTTCTGACAAGCTACCTTGTTCGGACTTTACCTAAACAAAAGATTAGTAATAAATACAATTATTAAAATGATTAAAGTGACAGTGATTAGCCCTCGCTCCGCGTCGGTTTAAGTCATAGTTTATGTTCTCGCTCAAAATCCGGCTTTGCTTTCCTTGAAAATTATCCAACCATAGGTAAAAACCGTGATAAACTTCTCTACTCCTTTAGACAGTTGTTCCACCGCCGGCGAAAAACGACTAACTTACAGCTATTTTCTCGCAAAAGAAACGTACAATAGACACTCCTTTTAAACTAAAGAAATGTATGTACTAATAGTTGATTTCTGACTATTCACACTGCCGCTGCCGGCGAGAACTCTCTTCACTAGTGTGTCCCTGAGCGACAAGAGCAATCAAAGATAATACTCGCTCACCGATACTGGCCCAGCGATGCTCGCTTGCCTCTAAACGTGTGCACGCGTGCATTTTTTTAAGTAATCGCCCGTCGTACTCGCACTCTCGCTTACAGTCCAGCGATAAAACTAATCAAAAATTCAATATCGTTTATTCAGTCTAGGCAAATTACAAGCACTTGTGAATATGGAAAAGCTACGCCATCGGTTCGCAAATCTACGGCGGGAGACCTTGTATTGAGAAGAACCGGCAAGAAACTCAGCAAGGGCTGCTTTTTTCTCCCTGTTTTATTTCATACAGTGTCGCCAAATTGAAAGTTGACATCAAACTTGCATACATGTGTGAGGTGAACTTCTATCACATAATGTCAAATAGGTAACAATAGACAATCAGCGAATTTACTAACAATAAGTTTAAAGAAAAGTCCCAAATAGCAAGAAAAAATCTTCAAAACAAATTGAACAATGAAAAAGTATATGCCCCCAGTTTTTATATAAATTTTGAAAAAATTACAACCAAGCTGTTTTATCATTCAAATATTGCAAGGGCTGTTTTTTCCCCTGTATAATATACACAGTCGTCAAATTGAAAATGCCTTCATTAAGTGCATTCGCCCGGATAGCGTAGGGTGCGGGTTCGAGTCCCGTCTGCTGCCTGGTCCGCGTAAAATTTTTCTAGTAAAATTTTCTTTAGATTTAAAAATCTAGCAGTTAAATGCTTAAAAAATAAAAATATGACTAAAGAACTTCTCATTGCGCGTGGCCTCACATTCACAGTGCCATATTTTGTTTTACATTATCATAGTCGCTGGTATTTCAAATGTTATTGACCTTATATCATATCAATTATAATTTCTTATCATTATCAATTTTTAATGTTAAATGTAGGAAACCCCCCGTCATCTTCTACGAAAGCATAGAACAATTGGTCCGTTTTTAATTGACTAATTGAACATTAAACACACACAATGATATTAAAGCATTTAAGGAAACACGTGTGTATACTTCGTACATAAATCCGGAAACAATAGTAGGCACTATCACTCAGAACATAAATTCCACTACAGACTAATCAGAGCTCTGCAACTAATGAAAAAGAATTGCAGCAATAACGCCGACCGATGCCCTACTTCACAGCATAGTTTTTTTTGAGCCTGTATGTTGTTGGTGACCTAAGATGACCTTTACAGCATCACCGGGTTTGGGGTCGGCAAGGCAAGATCCTAAGGGGACCTTAAGCCGAGAATTGGCGAGTGCCTCTAGAGGTTTTCCAAGCGGATGGCATCTCCCCACGGAGGGAGTCTCCTCTCCGTTTGGAGCCTCTAGACCACTCGAACCTGAGGGGGTCGGCTCAAGTAGAGGGCGTCTCCTAGACTTGGACCTCGGCTGTAGGGGGGCGGGAAAAATCGTCCAGTGCGTACCTGTACCTGGTAGAGCGTGTCGTGTGTAGACCGGGTCTTCGCACTCTTCACAGCACTCAGACTCATTATACAAATGCGATTTCGTCTGCGTGGAATTTCGATTTCCCATACAAACTTTTCATACCCTTAAAGGATGATCCTGGAACTCAATTATCTCTATACCTAATTTCATCTAAATCGGTTCAGCTGTTTAAGTATGAAGGGGTAACAGATCGACACCCTTTCGTATTTAAATTGTTAGTATAGATAAAGACTTCGTTTGGAATTGTGTCCTCAAAATGGTAAAAATAAGCACTTTGTGCTATTTTGGTGACATTGACATTTGAGGGAAGCTCAGGAGGGAAGTTCCAAATGTCAGAGTCAACTCAACCGCCATAGTGAAGATGTTTAACTTTTCATCAATGTACCGACTAAGCTTAGAATTAATTCAACATTTACTTCAAGTGAAATTCACACAACACATTAATTATTTCTATCATCTAACTAACAACGTTTAATAGATTAGTCACCCACGCTTAGGAAAGTAACATGTTTTCGATGAATTCTATACCTACCTTAGCTATATGGCTATATCATGCAAAGACCACAAAAATAAACAAGAATAGGTTTTTGTTTCTTAGAAATCGTAATTCGGCGAAATAGCTCTGACGTAAATCCCTCGTTTATAAACTTTTAATGTAATTCTTCTTTACTTTAATGCTTGGTAAAATAGTCGGGACAATAGCAGGTTTTCGGCATAACTTTCAAGAAGTTACTTTTCATAAAATAATTTTATTATCATAAAAGTTACATATTTTCATGGCTGAGAAGCTAGTACCTAAAGATTATTATTTACTGATGTTTCTCGATATACCAATATTACAAAAAATATCTTCAAACGCCTTCACCTTTTTCATGTTACTGAACGCTTTAATTTCCTGTTTATTTGAAGCGTAAATATGCGTATATTGATTCGATATAAGCCTTAGAAGTTCCAAGCAAATAGCTTACAATCACTTTCAATCAATTAAAATAAAAAAGCCTCTCTGAGTTTGTTTCGCCAGTTCCTCCAAAAAAGGTCTCCCAATTTGGACCTGGTGGTAGTTTACGGTAGTTAGGGTCAAATAAATAAAACATAAAATTAAAAAAGAATTTCATCAATAAAATACTTAGTTTAGTTAAACGTAGAGATACTCGTAAAAGTATAAAAAATATTTTAAAAGTAGATTAATTAAATAAGTGTTTTTCGTGAAAACATAAGAAATAAATAAATCATGTGTTTTGTTATTTTGGATTGATTTATAGTACTTAACATTAACACTTGTACTGTTATGTATCCTGTGCTTTAACTAACAAACTTATTTATTTTCAATAGGAAAAAAAGGCCATTCTTTATAGACTCTAAATTTGCTTTCCCTAATTTATCACCTCTTTCAAGATACAAACGAAGTAATCAGCAATTTTACTTCAATTTAATATGATATAAGTTCTGATTGAGGAGCTCGATGGCGCAAGTGGTTAGCGCATTCGACTTGAGATCGTGAAACTAAAGCAAGCACGCAATGGTCGGTCATTGGAAGCGACATCAAAAACTTATTATCTCGAGGTTCTCAATGCTTCAGAAGGCTAACGTACCTTCCGTTGCCGTTGGTTCCGGTTGCATCTGCAGTCGTTAGCACCCACCAAACCGAACTGGCCCCGCGTGGTGGGTCACGGTCCAATCTCTTTATTCAATCCATAAGGAAGGCCTGTGCCACTGCAGTGCGTACAATGATGTTCTGATATATGTTTGTTTCAGCTCTTGCCGCGACTTCTTCGTTACCGAACAAGCATTCAGGCAGCAAAGTGTCCAGCAGCGAGCGCGACAAACGAAGCGTCTTTCCTGACGCGCCCATCGAGTTGATTGAACCGCCAGCGTCCAAGGATATGGACAAACTTGAGGAGAGGTAATCTAAAACTTCAATCATTATACACTACTAGGGGCTCGCCCTCTCTTCGCTTCGGTGTAGACTATACTACTTTACGCTATATAACATCACGCTACGACCAGTTGGAGCGGAGCATCGATTAAAAATGTTCCAAAAATGAGTAAAAATGTTCCATTTGTGAGCTTCCGTGCACTGTGTAAACGGTCAAAGTTACACTAAAATCATGTATAAGGGAAACCCTTTAAAATTGCGAATTGCGAAGGGTGCGGGTTCGAGTCCCGTCCGTTGCCTGGTCCGCGTGTTTTTTTTTCTAGTAAACTTTTCTTTAGATTTAAACATCTAGCAGTTAAATGCTTAAAAAATAAATAAAAACATAAACCCTTTAAAAGTTCTATAAAAAAAAGTCCGCAATAGCATTTGTCCATCTTTTAAGTTTGTGAGTTAAACTTTTTCCTCAAATTACAGCAGGTGAAACCACAGGGGACCTTTAGTTGTGACATAATAACAGTAATAGTCAGACATATGATATCGCGGACTTTTTTGTAGATGTCTATGTCCTCTAAGATACTCAAGTACATCAGTTTGCTCTATTGTCAATGACATCCGCAGCGTACGCGACAAAAGTTTAAATTTTGGTATTTTTTTCACACGTTCTGTTACATTATCTAAGTTCTTATGCCGATACCTAACTTTTTGAAAATACTCTATAGCCTATGTTCATCAAGGATAATGTAGGATTCTAAATGTGAAAGATTTTTTCAAATCGGCCCAGGAGTTTCGGAGCCTATTCAGTACAAACAAACAATCAAATCTTTCCTCTTCATAATATTATATGTAATATATAATACGATAACTTCCTCTAATTTTCCAATTTTTTAGTAAATTTTTCATTGTCTGAATAATCTCAGCGACACGATAACAATTTAGTATTTTTAACAATGATTGATTACATTATAATTATGATATTTTTAATAGCAAGTTTTAAGAGCACCATGTCCTTCTTCAAATTCAATATCTCAAGCATTTAGAAATGTAACGTCAAAATAGGAACTATAACAATTTTCTTTTCAAAACTTTTCTTCACAAGAAAACTGTAACATCTATCATACTACCATAAATTATTAAAAGCTTTTAAGGAAACTGGCTGAATTATTAAAAAATTGCTTAACGCTGCCCTTTCTTTATAAGTTTGTGTCTATGGGGTGGGGTAATTGATTGCGCCTCGTATTAAAATAAAATCTGACAATCATAACAAAGAATTAA